TGCACAGAATATATATATATATATGCACTCATAAACAACATATATATGCACATGTAAATAAATATATATATATATATATATATATATATATATATATATATATATATGTACAGATAAATTATATATATATATATATATATATATATATATATATATATATATATGCACACGTAAATTATATATAGAGAGACTTATACAGACATTCATTTATCTAAGCTGATTAGCTAATGTAGAGAAATTGAAAGGACACTCTGAAGAAAGTGATATTATATATTACTTACATACCTATGTATGTGTCTACTTTCTGTTCTCCCCTCATATTAGTTACTCTTCCTTCTTGCATGCACACTTACATATACCAATAAAGAATATTGATTTTAAATGCCCACATGCGCGCACACACACACACACACACACACACACTATATATATATATATATATATATATATATATATATATATATATATATTTATTGCTATGTTTATTCAATGTAATACACATATTTACATAAGCATCACAGTGAATAAACAGAGGCATAAACCAACACATTTATAAATAAATTTATGCATGAGGTGAATTACATTTTGTCTTAATTCCACTGGAAAATGTCAGACTTTAGATTCTTCAATGTATAAATTAATGCAAAGACATTTTTATGTCATCATAAAGCATTTAGGAAGGAATAATTAGAGAGAATGCAAGGATTAGAAATTAACTGTTTAAATGCAAATTCCTTCTTTAATATGATAAATTAATCTTGCTAACTGTTGCATTGCATATCTGATATAATTTTATGAGGACAGCGACCACCTTGAACATAACAGTTAAGTTTCTGTCTTTTGTCATGAAACAAGACATTATCTATAGATATTTTTTTTAACAAGTATGAAATATATATTAGCATCCCATTTACATAATGGTAATCATAATATCAGCAGAAATATTTGGCATTCATTATCTCTGCTAGGTTCATTTGAAATTTATAGAATAAGTTTGCTTTTTCTTATATTGATGAGGGTTTCCTTCCTGACCTTTTGCTTGAAGTAGTCTGGAATGTCAGCATCTTGATTATGTCATTATCTTTTCTTGCTGTTATATATGTGTTATATACTGTACCTATGAAAGCTAATCGGTATGTCTGAATCCTCAGAAATATGTTGGACACTATTGTAAGTGGGATAATATGTTGTCTAAGTAGTCCACCATTAGCAGTGGTTTACCTATTGACGCTGCTGGTGAGTATTGTATTTTGTTGAGTTTTAATAACAATTGCCATTTCATTTTCAACCTCCAATTTGGTTATTCCTCATTCAGTAAACTTTTCTAGGTTACAACAATATACTATCCCTTTTAGTTGTGGTTGTTGAAAATCCTCAAGTGATGTGGTTTCTATAATTTGGTACAGGTCTTTGTGATGCTATATTGCCAGTCCGCGAGGTTCAAAGAAGGATGTTCCTTGCTAAGACCTATAGGCTTCTTTCAGTTCAAGCCATTTTTAAACATTGATCTGAGAAAGTAGTTTTATACAGCTGACAGTTTAGTTACTTTCTGCCATACATAACATCCATTTCTATTTTTGCATATTTATTGAATTTATTTTCAATCCATATGCAGGCTGTTTGCTCCCATTGTAAATTCTGGTTTATTCTAATCTCCTTATCAAATATATCAAACTTACCCAAGAGTTCCATCAGTTCTTTGTAACATATGTTATGAAACACTTTTGCATAATCTATAAAAACGTAGGTTTACATCCTTTTATGTTTGTATTGTTCTTTCTGATATCATTGTGATCATAAATATGACATTCCTTGTTCCAGTGTCTTTAATGAAGCTGCATTGTTCTTGTCCTATTTCTGGTCTAATTCTGCAGCATGCTCTATTCAACAGAATTTGGATGATAAGAGTGATAGGATCCCAAATCACCTACAGGGCCTTGTGGGTGATGAATTATTGTCCACTTTACAACCCATTGTTCTTGTAGTTTCTCTTCTATATCAAGGTTACCTAGGAATTCCATCAGTTCATTGTAACATAAGTTATCAAACACTTTTGCATAATCTATAAAACATAGATTAATGTCCTTTTGCATTTGTATTGTTCTTTCTGATATCATTCTGATCATAAATATTACATTCCTTGTTCCAGTGTCTTTAATGAACTTGCATGTTCTTGCTGTATTTCCAGTCTGATTCTGCTGTGCACTCTATTCATCAGAATTCAGCTGTTCTGTTATATGAATCTAGTTTTTTTCCATTTCATGCAAGAGTAAATTATGGTGGATTAATAGATAGTGGCTTTGATTGAGGAATCAGAGCCCTAAGTTCAGATTCCAGTGTGATCCATTACATTCACTTACGTGCTAACACCCTTCAAAAATAGATGAATCCTCTTCTCCTTCTCCCAGATATGGGTAAGTAGCAGGATGGACTGAACTCTATAGCCTTGGGTGGTAACCAGTCTAGGAGAAGGAAACTGAATTCCAAACCAGCCTGGAGAGCATTGGGCTCCATCAAGCTATCTTACCCAAGAAACAACAATTATACTGTGGCTGCAGTACATGTGGTGCCTCTACGACCCCCATGTCATAAGATATATATATATATATATATATATATATATGGGGGGGGGCGTGTATATATATATATATATGAAAAAAAATATGCGGAAAAAACAAACAAAAATCCTAATAAGCAATTATGCTGTTTTAATGTTAATATAATTCAATTCAACATGAAAAAGATAAAGAATATGGTCTATGTTAATTATGTTTTATGAATATGTCCTGAAGATGGTCTATTAGACCGAAACGTCCGACATTGACATTATATTAACATTAAAACAACATAGTTGCATATTAGGATTTTTATTTGTTTTTTCCGTATATTTTTCTTCATACTGTTGATCTATATCCATATATTTGCTTACATATATATATATATATATATATATATATATATATATATATATAATTTTTTTATATAAATGCATACACTACCTCTGTTTTTTGTTTTTAGATATTGCATAGGATTTATACATCAGCTAGCTTAAAGTTAAATCATGCTGGAGCACCGGTTTGTGTTTGATCACTGAATTTAAACCGCATCATGCCTGTTCAGTACTTAAAGGAAGCACCATTTGGAAAGACCACATACTTTAAAGGAAAACCAGGTACAAAATTGGTTGGGCATGGTGCTAGCAACTTAATCCCTGAAGAACTTAACTGTGATGGAAATTACAACAGCAATGCCAAGTGTTGTTGAGAGCTTGGGGCCTCATACTCCTCAGTGGAGTCTTAGGGACTAAAAGAAAGGTAAAAGAAAAGAAAAAAGGTATCAGCTGGCAGATAAACTTGTGAATTTCATGATTTCACTGGGCTGAACTTTAAAATACTTTACTTTGTTTTCAATGTTTTTTAGCAAACTCTTATAAGCTAAAGCCATATTTGAAACTTATATGTCTTATATAACATTGCCAGACATGTGTGTGTGCTCATTCCAAATAATAAAACAGATTTGTTATTCAAATTTGGGATGTGTGTGGGAAAAATTCTGGAACTTCAAAAGTACTAACAGTAATTGCCATTATGAAAAGAAATCAGCTATATTTTATTTATCATTCTGTTTTTTCATCTTTTCTCTTCTAAATACGTAAACAAGATGGAGAAAGGACCCATCATGTATATTAAAGGTGGTGCTGAAGGCATATCAAATTTCCTTGTCCTATTTCTTATATATTAGTAAAATTCTGTTGAAATAAAATATCATTATGTATTTGAACATATTTATTTCCATTTCTTTTATTTTGGTTTTTGTTCAACAAATCCTGAAAATTTTTGATTTTTATTGTTAAAGAATTTTAAGAACTTATTACTTTTTCAATTTGTTATTTTATTAATTTTGTTGCTTCTATTAACAGAAGAAATAAAATCAAATAAAGATTGGAAAGGGTATTTTTTTTTAATTCTTCATTTTATCTCCTCATTCTCTTTACTAATTTCCGTCAATTTTTTCTTTTTTATCATCTTCATTATACCTCCTCCTTCTATTTCATTTTATTTCTTCATTTTGCCTCACTCCACTCCTCCTCCATTTTACCTTTTTCTTCTACTTCTTCACTTTACCTCCTCCTTTGTTTACCTCCTCCCACTCCACCTCCATTTTACATTTTTTTCTACTTTATCTTACCTCCTCCTCCTTCTACATTTTTTCCTCTCCCTACATTTTACCTCCTCCCTTTTTATCTTTTATGTCTTCATTTTGACTCACTCCACTCCTCCTCCATTTTACCTTTTACTTCTACTTCTTCACTTTACTTCCTCCTTCGTTTACCTCCTCCCACTCCACCCCCAAATTTAAATTTTTTCTACTTTATCTTACCTCCTCCTCCTTCTACATTTTTTCCTCTCCCTACATTTTACCTCCTTCCTTTTTATCTTTTACGTCTTCATTTTGCCTCACTCCACTCCTCCTCCATTTTACCTTTTTCTTCTACTTCTTCACTTTACCTCCTCCTTCGTTTACCTCCTCCCCCCACCTCCATTTTACATTTTTTCTACTTCATCTTACCTCCTCCTCCTTCTACATTTTTTTTCTCCCCTACATTTTACCTCCTTCCTTTTTTCTTTTTTACGTCTTTTATTTTGCCTCACTCCCCTCCTCCATTTTACCTTTTTCTTCTACTTCTTCACTTTACCTCCTCCTTCGTTTACCTCCTCCACCTCCTCCTCCATTTTACCTTTTTCTTCTACTTCTTCACTTTACCTCCTCCTCCGTTTACCTCCTCCCCCCTCCTCCTTCACTTTACCTTTTTCTTCTACTCTGTTATTCCTCTTCCTTTTTACATTCTTTGCCTTCATTTTCCTCCCCTCACAACTTTCCTTCTATCATCATCATCATCATCATCATCATTATTATTACTGCTGCAATGATGATGTTGATGACGGCTTCTGATCTGCTCTAAGACTTTTTCACTGATTTTTCCTGTACATTTATCCTCTATGTTTTTCTTTTATTTGGCTCTTCATTTCTCTCTTGAAGAATGGTTTGAGGGCAAAGCATTGAGCATTGTATCGAAGTATATTTGTCAGCATACAACATGGCAGGCTCCGGTGAGTCTGCAGACTGGTCCTTCCCATCTTGCAGGTTACATTTTACGCAAGTGTCACACTAGTTTCTCTATGCCAGAGTATTGACTAAATAAACCAACAACAAAAACAAACAAAAGAGCAGAAGCAACGAGTAAAAAATTAACAATAATGAAAACAAAAAATGACATACAAAAACGAGGAAGGGGAAAAGATTATAAGTCTATACTTTTTATTGATTCAACAACATTGCAATTGTTCAAGAAGATGTGGAGAAATCTTTTCTTGAACATGTTCATTTATCTTACCTCCTAAGGAAACAGAACTCTCTCTCTCTCTCTCTCTCTCTCTCTCTCTGTCTATTTCACAGTTTCTCTCTTTATATATATATATATATATATATGTATATACATATATATATATATATATATATATATATATATATATATATATATATGTATATATATATATATATATATATATTATATGTAAGTCTATCCATTTCTTTATATTTATCTCAGTTGATTCACATCTCTTTCTCTCTCTCTCTCTTTTAGTCTTTGTATCAATTTCCTTCTCAGCTCAGTCGATTCACATCTCTCTAAGACTATTTATTCATTTCCTTCACATCTATCTGTCTCTTTTGATTCACATCTCTCCATTTCCTTCACATCTCTCTCAGTCCATTCCCATCTCTCTCTCATTATATATATATATATATATATATATATATATATATATATATATATATATAAAGAAAGAACAGTAAGATATATAATCCGGTGTTCTTATAGATATTTTAATTTTACAAAATAGTGCTCAATGTAAATTTACAGAGCATTAATATTATAAATTAATTGATTTAAAATATGTTTTTTCTGCTACACAGTTCTAACCATGTTTCAAAAATGGAAGCTAAATGCTCCAAATTTAATTTTGTAATTTTTTAGCTTCCATTTTAAAATTTATATATTTTAAATCAATTAATTTATAATATATATATATATATATATATCTTTTCCACTTTTGCCATGTCTTTCACAATATGACTGCCTGCACATTTTTTCTTTTACTCATGACCTTCTCTGTCTCTCTTTTTCAGTTTATCCTTCTGCAATCCATCTCTGGATGTACAGTGGAGTAATGGATAGCAACAGATTAAGGAATTGGAGAGCCAAGTTCAAATTCCAGTAGAGTTCTTTACTCTTTTTGTCTCTTCTCTTCTCCTCTTCCCTTCTTTTTCCTTTCCCCTTTCTCTCTCCCTTTTCCATTTTTCTTGCTTATCCCTTTGTCTTTATTTTCTACCTTTTCTCTTTCTTGACTCCTTACTTTTTCTCTTTTTCTCACTATTTTTCTACTTTCCCTTCTTTTTGTATTGTCTGTTCTCCTGTGTTCTTTCTTTCCTTTCTCACTTTTCTTTATTCTCTACTCTTTCTTTTTGTACTTACCTTTCTTTTCACTTACGTTTTTTTTCTTTACTCTCCTCTCTTTTCTTACTTTTATTTAATCTCTTTTCTTTTCACTTGCTCTCTCTCTCTCCAGTTCCATATTTACACCATTCTCCTCATCTTTACTTTTTCAATTCTTAATTTTGTTTTTTTTTTTAATTTGCAATTTATACGCTTACTTTCCAGTTTTACTTACTGCCTGTTCTTGTTTTCTCAAGAAAAAGAAAATCCCCTCCACCCACTATTTATTCTTTTGTCTTTCTTTCTCCATACATTTTGCTTTCTCTCATTTTTTCTTTCTCACTTGCCTTTTCTCCCCATTTATTGTTCTATCTCTTTTTTTTCTTTTAATATTATTTGCTTTCTTTCTTTTTTTTCTAATACACTGCCCCTCTTTATAAGTAATCTTTCTTTCTTTCCCCTATTTATTCTTTACTTTCTTTTCTTTCTAACACACAGCTCTTCTTTATAATTAATCTTTCTTTCTTTCCCCCATTTATTCTTTCTTTTCTTCTTTATCACACACTGCCCCTCTTTATGATTCATCTTTCTTTCTTCCTCTCCCAACATTGATTATTTTCTTCTTTCTCACATACTTCTACTCTTTATCTTAATATTTCTCTTTCCTGTTTTTCTCTATATAATCAACCAAATGAAAAATCAAAATACAAGAACAGTCCAAATTCTAGAATGCTCCCAAAATGTCTACTGAGGAAGTGAAAGCCTTTAGAAAGAACAGCTCTTTGATAACTAACATTGCCACTACACAAGAGACCAACCCTCAGTCGATCAGTCAAGTTATTCTGGGCTATACAGATTATGGTCTGACTATCAGGCATTGATCCTGCCTGAAAGAAGAGAACCAGCCTTCCATGCAAGTGGACACGCGTCTACACTCACTGCAGTTTCTCAATCGACTTCCTGGTCTAACTCTTTGCCCAAACTGCCGTTTTATAATAACTCCTATTTTAGTCTTCAATCAATTCTTTGAGTTTCAGTTGCGCAAATATCAGGAGAGTGAATGTCTGTAGCTGTTGGGATGCAGACGAGATACATAATTCTTATTTTGGGGTGGGTTTGTCAGGAATAACATCACAATATATGAAGAATAGGCAGAATAATACTAATTAATAAGAATGCCAAAGTTGAAAGAATCAAAACCTTTTGAGCATATACAAAGACTGTAGTTAAGGCAAAAACATTTCATTGAAATATACAATATTTTTCTAATAAAAAAAATAAACTTCATTATCTAAACTATTCAATAAAAAACAAAACAACTTTTTTATCACTTCTGGTAAATTTCTGTCTGCATTTCTGGGGTGAGTGGTTAAAATTATTTACATTCAGACTAATATCCTCGTCTTTGTTGTTATTATCACCTGATCGCATCCTTACTGAATTTCTGCAATGAGGAGTTATCATTATTTACATTCAGACTAATATCCTCATCTTTATTGTTATTATCACCTGACTGGCCTCTCTCTGAATTTCTGTGATGAGGAGTTATCATGATTTTCAATTAGACTAATATCCTCATCTTTGTTGTTATTATCACCTGATCATAGCCTTAGTGAATTTCTGTGATGAGGAGTTATCATTATTTACAATCAGACTAATATCCTCATCTTTATTGTTATTATCTCATGATTGACTTCTAACTGAATTTCTGAGAAGAGGAATTAATTTACATTATTTATATTCAGACTAATGTCTTCAACTTGTGGATCTTACGGCCATATCATATTGAAACATTGGTTCCTGCATGAACACTGAAGTTAAGCAACATCAATCCTGGTCAGAACGTAGATGGGTGACTGCTTAGATGCACATGTAATGTAATGGATAATGGCTTGGAGTTGGAAATCAGTGAGCTGGCTTCCATTTCCAATTAAGTTTATTATATTCAACTTACACAGAAATACCCTTGGAAAAGGTATGAACCCATCTCTATACCCACCCCCAATTTTGAAAAATTGCTGATATGATAACTTTGAGTTCAATTCTAGTGCTGGGTCGTACTGATATAGAATCTGTGGAAACAAAGTGAGCAGTAACTGAACCCGTACGAAATAAAGACAAGGTGAGATATCTCTAGATATGGACAGTGGAACAAATAGAACTACTCTTGTAGTTTTCTGTTTGAAATTCAGTCCATTTTTTATCATTTCATTCCAAGCAAGGCAATAATGACTAGGATACAAATTGTGTGAAAGAGAATGAGAAGACATTAGAGAGGAGAAAGGACAATAAAAGAACAGGTTTCAAGAAGACAGAAGATGTCGATAGACATTGCATTTAAATTTTTGAAGATTGTTGGTGGCAGGGAAGCAAGAAACCAAAAGGGAGTTCCACAGGTGAGAAGTACACAAAAAAGACACCATTAGAATAGAACATGCAGTTGCATTTTAGTTCAACAGTAAAATGGTGAGACTTAGTAGCCAATCTAGTCAGCCAGTCAGTTATGTGTCATCCGGGATACATGACTGATGAGGCAGATTTTTTCCCACAGTAGGTTACAATTTCTTTCTGTCTTAGACCAGTTGCCATCCAAGGCTATAGAACCCAGTCTATCGTGCTACTTAACCATAGCTGGGTAGAGAAGAGTAGGATTCATCACTTTCCCAAGGGTATTAGCACATAAGTGAATGTAATAATTTGATTGGAATTCAAACTCTACCTTGTATCATGTTTAAATTCAGGCAGTTCAGGCACCAAGGAGGAAAGCTTATCAGAACAATTGCCATGAAAATATTTGTAGAAGAGACAGAAGAAAGTTACATCATGTGGGTGAGAAAGTGATTGAATTTAAGATGCCTGGTTAAGACTGGTTACATTATCCAGATTCTTTTTTGAATTTTATCTGGATTGACTGGCACCTGTAGCAGGCTGGAGAGCACAACAGCCAAAACATTGTGATAATAACAACAAAGATGTGGATATTAGTCTGAATATCAATAATATAAACAGTTTTTGTTTATTTTCTCAGTTGTAAGGGGAGATTGAAACATGGTAGTTTTTTTTGATTGATTGCTTTTCTCCAGTTTATCAATCTTTTGCAGGTTATTTAAAGCCAGAAAATATTTTTAGATTCTAAGAATTTTATTTTTTTTTGGTGGGGGGATAATAATGGTTTATGGTGACAAGTGTTTACTAATTAACACATAGCTGAGAGGTGGATTATAACTTTCCTAAGGTTATTTGCATGTAAGTAAATATAACGAATCCAAATAGAATTGGAACTCGGCTCTTTGACTAATAATTTTGAGCCATTATTCTTTACATCACACATCCAAGCTTACAGCACTTAATATTCACAAGTGGTCAGCCATCTTGGTACTGACCAGGCACAATGTTGCTTAACTTCAGTGATCAGAACTTTGGTGTTTCAAAATGATGTGGCTATAGAAGTAAATAATTCCTAATTTTTTATACAGATACTCTTTAAATATTATATAATAAATATTCAAATCTACACATTTCCTGAATTTTTCCCTTAGGATCTTAATTATATATATTCATTTTTAAGAAATGTATTTTTTTTTTTAGTTATATGTACTGTCATATCCTGTGGCTGCAAAAATCTTTCTCCGTTCCATTATGGATTACCAACTGTTATTAGTTTTATTATAAAAGAAAATGTCTGCTGTCTTGTAAGGAATATAATTGATAAAATAGTGCTTTGAAAAAAAGAAAAAAAAGGTATATTTGAAATGCACTTGGGTAGACAAGTTTATCCTGTGTGACACTTGGTCAAAAAGTGAGTGCTCTGTCGGGAAATGAAATGAGATAATCTTCAGGAAGGAAGAAAAGATGAAACAAAAATAATGGAAAAAGAAACAAATATAATGAAAAGAAGAAAACAATTAAGATGAATAAAAAAAAATCAAGGAAAAAAAAAAGACTTTAAAATAGAAAATTTTGTATTAAATAACATGGAAGATAAAAAGGAAAGAGGAAGGAAACAGAATCAAAGAAGAAATAGAAAAAAAATCTGAAGAAAATGACTCAGAAAACATAAGACAATATTGAATTAACAGACACTGAAGTTAAAAAATAAAAAAAAACATACAAAAAGAAACAAAAGAGAAGGAAAATATGAAAAGAAAACAGACCTAAAAGTAGAAACAATATGGAGGATAAAAAAGAGAATGAAGAGATATCAAAGAATGAGAAAATAAAAATATGAAGATAATTCAGAGAAATAATATTGAATGAATAGACAGTAAGTAAAAAAAAAAAAAAAAAGATGAAAAACAACAATGAAGGAAAATATAAAAAGAAAGAAGAAAAACTAACCAAGACAAATAACTGAAAAAGAAAAAGAGGACAAAAGACAAGAAGTAGAAAGTCATAAAAACATATTGGAAAGAGGTGAGTGCTTAAGATATAAAAGATCTCTTCATATGGTGGCAGGTACAAGAAGCTATCCACTTTTGCTGTCTGCATGCATCTCACTATTTTTCTTTGTCATCTTTCTATTATTGTCTTATAGCTTTTACTACTTGCACTCTTCTGCACTTTCCTGTCAATCAGGCAGGCAAAGTTATCACCCACCTCTCCTTGTATCCAACACAGACAATGCTCCTTGTCCCAACATCTTCACCCACACTATACTCTGTCTTAGCCCCACCCAACTAACGCATCATCATCGTTTTGGTCATTCCATACTGTAACTATTCTTTACATTTGTTTTTCTTTTTCATTTCTTATCTCCAGTGATGGCTTATCTGACAATATTTGATAGATGTCTATCCGATCCAATATTTCTTCCAGAGGCCATACTATTTCCTTAATTTAACAATTCTTTTGTGGTTGGGTAGTGATGGAGGAAGAGAAAGAAAAAAAAAGACATATAGAAGACAATTGACAATTCTTCTAAAGTTCACCAATTATGAATTTTTTTTCCCTCCCAATCACTCATGTATTTTTGGCGGATGATGGATTTTTGTGTTTTTTAATTGTTTTTATGCTGTCGTTTTTTTTTGTCTTTGTTTCCGTCTTTTTCCATTTTCTTAGGATTTAACTTCCTTCTTTATCTGTCCACCAAAACTATTTCACCAAATATTTTAATATGAAACTCATATTAGTCATTCATTCTTCTGAAATTATATATATATATATATATATATATATATATATATATATATATATGAAGAAATATAGTTTTAAGGTATGCTATATTTATGGGATAAAGTGCTCAATATAAGATAAATATATAAATAAATATAAATGTGAACATTGAAGTCAACACTCAGAGGAAAGAGACTGTTTCATGCTAAACGCAATCATCAGGCCACATGCATTGTGTTTTTTCTTGACTATTTATATATACAGGTCAGTGATGCATTGTGGGTAGTCTACTCTAAAGGCTATTTTGGCAGGAGTAGTTTGTTAATTTTTTTATTATTTACTTTATTTGGATTAATTTATTTTACTTATTTTTGCTTATTTATTTTATTCTATGTATTTTTATTTATTCCTTTCAGTTTCCAATTTTTAAATAACGTAGTAAAAACTTGTTTTCATGTCTGCATTTTGAGGCATTTTGAGATGAGTTCTGATCATTTATTAGTAGTTTACTTTGGTTTGGAAAGATAATTATAGCTATTTTTTACCTCCAAGCAGAGCTTGCAGTTTTTGGGTTGATTGTTGTAAGCTGATGTTCTTTTCCTTATTTTCCATGATATTTTTGGTGTGATTTACTTTTTATTTTTAATTTCCTATATATACTTGGAAAGCATTGTGCTGTTTGCACATTTACTATCTGTGAAATATGTTTTGTGTGTGTAGTTTCTTTGTTTCCAGGGTCATTCAGTTATTCCTATGTATATTTTTTCTTTGTTATCTGATGATTTTACTGTGGCTTGATATATATATATATATATATATATATATATATATATCCTAGTTTGGGATTTGTCAAAGTGGGTATTTGTGGTTTACTCACATATAGGTCACACGGTAAATCTGGGGTGTTATATGGTCCTTTTTTAATGTAAATATAACTAATATTTGTTACGTATTTTCAAATATTCACTTTTATTTAAAACTTTGCTTACAAATGTTAAAACATAAGAAAAGTAATTGGTTGTAATTGCATGGTATTTACTTATTGAGTGTGGCAGGGCTGCTCTGTTTAGACAAAAATATGGAAAAAGTTAATTGTTTCAGTCCTAAAATAACTAGAAAATATTATAGTATTTCTACATAAATACAGATAATAAATGATAAGTATGAGATGTGAAGATCAAACACTTTTAATTGACGTGAGGCAGCACTGTTGGAAGAGGAGATTGAGTAAAACTGAAATGTCTGAGAAAAATTAATTTTCTCCCTTGCTCTTGCTTATGCTGAAGTCCAGGATATTCACCTGGACTACTGATATACCACAGTCTACTTCAGATTCCCTATGATATTGAGTGGATAGGTCACACCTCTGATTTTTATTGAAATTTTGGTGAAGAAATGTGCAACCTATTCTCAAGTATATATGGCAATAATAAATATATTTCTTCCTTCACATTTGGTACAACTTTTGTAGAGTGAGGAACAAATGTATAGTTATTATTAGTGTGAACATTATATATATATATATATATATATATATATATATATATATATATATATATATATATATATTTTTTAAGAGAGAAATTGTAAATATTTCTGAAAGTTATAATGTGATTTTAAAATATATATTATACTTTATTTTATTGTAGAAAATAAAGTATAATATATATTTTTAAAATCCACATTATAATGAAAAACGTTTGCAGCTTCTCTTCTCTTTAAAATATACATTTTCTTCTTATTGGAACAACTCCCTAATATAACCTTTTATTTTACATATATATATATATATATATATATATATATATATATATATATATATATATATATATATATTTTTAAAGAAAACAGACCACTTTAAAAGTACCATTATAATAATTTATTTCACCAGAGCCCTTTTAAAGGATGCCGGATCATAAGATAGCACTTCCAAAATTGAAATGAAATGAAAAATGAAATTAAAATTGATGGGTAGTGTAAGTTTTTGTAATTTAACAGAGAGTGTAAAAGGGGTAGTTAAAGAGACATGGTAGAGTATAGAGAGGGATTAATTTCATATCTCTCTCAATCATACTTAGTATTAGGGACACATACACTAATAATAAATACACATTTTGTTCTTCATTGGTAGCACAAATCTGAGTTTCACATACAATGTAATCATCCGGTGAAGTTTGAAAACTGACCGTTGTAAAGTTTAAATACAGATATTTATACCATACTGTTACATATTGTTATAATAGTTGAGTATTTCTTTATTTGCAGGGGAAAAGGATATATATATAAACAAAAAATGATTTATATGAAAACAACATACATCTAAATTTTTTTTTTTTTTAAATTTTTCAACCCAAGCAAGGCAGGAGGGTTACAGAAAGTTGTAGTAAGAGTAAAGAGGCATGAGAGAGGAAAGGATGAAGAGAAGGGTGGGAAATAGATCAAGGCATCTGGAGATGTTGATTGACATTGCATTTGAATTGTTGGAGATTATACCTATTAGGGATGCAAGTAAGAGCAAGGGAGTTCTATAGACGGGAAGTGCAAGACATGAAGCTATTGGAGTAGAAGAGACGGCTACATTTATCTGTTTTGACAGTGAAAGGGTGAGACTGAGATGCTGACCTAGAGGCACGTTTAAATTCATGCAGTTTGAAAACTAGCAAAAATTGCTTGTTGGAGCAGTAACCATGAAAGTATTTGTAGAAAAGACAGAGGGAGGTGATGACATGTCTGTGAGAGAGCGACTTTAAATGAGATGCCAGATCAGAGCCAACCACATTGCATATCCATTTCTGGATTTTGTCGAGGACCCTAAGATGAACAGTGAGGACTCCAGACCATATATAACCGCAGTATTCCATGTAAGGGTGAATTGTTGATTTATAGATTTGAAGGATGGACTTGAGAAAAACTTTCTGGTGCGACACAGAGAACCAACTTTCCTTGCAGTAGATGAAGCTATTGATTCAATGTATTTGTTCCACCTCAGGTCAGTGGACAATGTGAGACTAAGTAGTCACAAAGAGGTACTCTTGTGAAGTTGAGCATCAGACATTCTAATGGGAGGCAGGGAAGGTTCTCTGTGGTTGGTAACAGAGAGCAGTTTTGTTTTTGAGGCATTAAAGTTAGCCAGAAATACAAATTAAATACAAGTTTACACATCTAATATATATTTTTGAATATAATAGACAGACATATACAAATATGTAAGGATACATCCATATTTACATAGATATATACAAAGGAACAAAATGTATATATGTTTGTGTATGTATATGTATAATTGTGTATATATGTTTGTGTATGTGTATGTATA